TTTTTGTATTACATTTTAGGTAATAAAAACTCTGTAATTCAAAATATTTTTAAGGCTTAAAATCCTGCCTTCGATCCTGAGATCCTGGTTCCGAATCCCGTTATACGTGTTTGTCTATGGCCTAGTCAGTCCTAACTTAGGATAGGCTCTGAGCCCTCTAGAAGGCGAGACTATGCTCTAACCTTTTCCCCATAGCTTGCCTCGGGTGAGGGACGAGGGGAGGTCCACATCCAGTAAGAGATGGAGAGAGCGCGCACGGGTTTCCACGCACAACAGAGGCCGAACGATCGTTGAGGAGGTCCACAACCATCACCATCGGGGTGTGTGATGAATATTAATATGAGCCCATGCACCGGTGAACAGTGAAGTCTAGGGAACCAGAGAGGTAGGGTTTAGTGGGTAGGCTCCAATTTCTTTCCCTTTTGGGCAGGAATGTGGAGAGAGTCCTACATACCCTGTGTCTTTCCTCAAGGCACCTGGGATGCGTAACGCATTCCCCCTCTTAAAAAAAAGGCTATAAGCCCCTCTGGCCTTAGTGGATGCGTAAGGTTAGCTGATGACGATAAGTATAGTCGACTTTATTTATTTACCAAAAATATAGATTTACAAATGACATTTTAAAGTTCCCATAATTTTATATAGGTACCAAACCTTATTGCACAGAATCAATTACATAGTTAATTTCTTCAAGAAAAAGTTTCATACAGATTAAGTACCATTTTATTGTTCAAATGCTTTATAACATTGAATTAAAAAGAATCAATTATTTCATCACATATTTGTGTTCCGGATTCATTGCTGAGAACAAGTTCATGTGCACAGTCGGTAGTCCACGACCCCGTCAACCGACTGTCAGGACGCGGCCGAGCGAAAAATTGAAGCTTCCATGATACGTTTGTTTCAACAAAAGATATTCAAAATATATATAGAGGTAGCATAGTTGACGTCACTTGAGATATTTTACATAAGATTCACTAACACCATCTGTTGATAGGTCCAGACACATGTCAATATAATTAATTGCCAAGAAGTGTCTTTAAAAAATGTTTATTTTATAACAAGAAGTGTAACTCATTGTTATTTTTTTAAATATTTTATAACATGTCAATCCAAGAGGTGGCGTACTAAACTTAACACCTAACAAAATACCTTTCAAAGAAGTTACCGGTGAAAAAATATTGTTCCCTATGTCTATTTATTTAATGTCTTTGGTTTCAGCTTATACTATCCGGTCACAATAACATAAGACGCCGTCACATTGAATACAAGATATGATGGCTTAATAAAGTTATTAGTAAAAATACCTAAGTTAACATTCGAAATACTTCTGCAAGTAAGGAACACATTATCACTACTTCAGCAATAATGTAAATCTATTCAAAATCAACCAGCGAATGTTAATCTTTGACCAAACGCGCGCGCTTTAAACTCCAAATATGCCTCTGAAGTGCTTTACATTGCCGGATTGTATTCACAAATTTGAATACGTTAGTAACAAAACACGAAATGTATTCTGTAACAGTTGTTCCCGTCTTTACAAGATGGCGACGATTCCTTTAAACGCGCCACTGGTCACTTTATTTTTTTTCAACTAGTAACGTCGTCGGCTCCTGGTATGGAGTATTAAGAGGGATTTAAAATAACAATTGCTGCATGTAATGGATATGCACTAGAGCATAAATGGGTTTCACGTTTGTTTGTATCACCGACACCTTCATAACAATGTTATAGACACGGCGACCACTGGTTAGCGTCAATGTTGCCATAATGACAGACTTGTAGAGAAAATATCGCTTTAGAACGTACGCACACCTGAAACTAAACATCCGCACAACTATTTAGTCTCGCTTTGATTCCTATAAGCAAACATGGAGGCGCACACTACTCGATTTTCAGCAACTGAACTATTAAATTTGCTGCGAAACAATCGACAACCGCTATTGTGCGATTGTTTTCGTTGTGCGATAGTTTAGTCAAAGGTGTGGGCCCGCTTTTATATTCCACTCAATTTATTACAGGAGACGAGTATAATAAAAAGATATTAGTTAGAAATTTCTTACATCAAAACAATTTAGAAGTCCTGTAGTAGAACTGAATTGCGTAAAGCTTGAGGTTGAACGAAGAATTATTTAGCTAAAAACAATGCCTAGTCCTACAACTCTGTATAATACACGTGAATGATCCTGGCAACTGGCAGATCCAGTAAATAATAAAAATATACTTCGCCTACGCTCTACACAGAAAGGAAACAAATAAACACCCTTTGCAGAGTAAAAAATAAAAAAGAATACATTGCTAAATAAAATGAAAAGGGGCTTAAGAAAAAATTGTTAAGAGATAAGTAACGTAAAGCTACCGACGTACGATGGCGGGCGACTGTTGCACCACAATACAAGGCTCGCAGATTCCTTGGATAATCCCACAAAGCGCCGCAACCTCCCAAGTCGCGTGGCGGCGGAGACAAAGTACATCTCATAGGCGTCACTAGCCGATGATCTGTTCTAGGGGACGGCAGTATTTAGGTACAAATTTCATAATATTGCATCGATTAATCAATTAAACTGGACTTTAAAACTAGCAATGGATAAATAACTATATTTACTTCAGTACATTTCCAATACACACTACATCTCGGTCTTCAAAATGGGCCAAGTCTTAACATGCAATAAAATGACTAATAATATATTTCCTAATTTACAAACTTTCACTCAGCCTCAAAACGCTATTTTTAAACGCTATCAATACAATCCTTTTTAACAAAATTTACTAATTTATCAAGGTAAAAAATAAAGATTTCTCTTATTGGTATAAACAGTCGTTACAGATGTTATATAAAAGTCTATAGAATATTTTTCCTCCCAAAGCAGTCAAAGAATGCCTTTCAAACGGCCAGTAGAAAGTATCATTGTAACAGAAGCTTAATTATCAATTGAAAATCAAGTAATGAATACCGTATAGTGTGTGATTAGGGTGACCATGCAACGTATTTAGGGATATTATTTTTTTCAGCTAATTACTTCTTATCTTTTCCTATTCAGATTGTTAACGAAAGTCTAGCACGAAAATATGGTGATTAAAAAAGACTACACTGTTGGTTTCTATTAATTAATTACAAATATAAGAGCCGAAGAAGCCAAGTAACCATTTGGTGTGACTTTCTTTTAATATGAGGCCATTACATAAACATTGTTCTTACTAACTCGAAGTAATAATGGGAAGAACTTTTTGTTTGAAGCTGGAAACGCATTCGTTCGTTCACAGTTGATTTCTATAGGCGTTATAGATCACTTGTTCACTTGTTTGTCCTCTTCAATTATAAAAAAAAAATGTTTTATTACTTAATAGAACTTATTCATAGCGTCTATTTTAATATTGCCAGCAATGTATAAAGTGCTTTCTTCTACTATTTTGTAAAACTGCGTGTTCTGTTTTTAGGAATCATTGAAAACCGGCGCTTCGGTGTACACCGAGCACATGCCGAATGAATTCCTTTTCATTTATTGAATAAACTGATTTCTTTCTTTCTTTCTTTCTTTCTTTCTTAACAAATAATAATGTGGGAGCAACTGACGGACTAAAAATTATGAACATTTGGTGTCAAAGTTTGGTCACCGTACAGTATTCAGTAGCGCACAAAGCGGCGCGTCAAAGATGGCGGTACCATTGATGTACGCGGTCGCCCCGGCGGCGAAGAGATCTCTCGACATCCAATAGCCTTTTAATACAAGCCGACATGTACAGGACCACTTTGGAGATTTCGTCTTAAAACGTTAGTGCATCATTTCTATAGAAATTTAAGAAATTTTAAGCAAAACAGTAGTCATTAGTTAATAATTAATAAACATTTAAGTTCCTAATTAAATTATTGACGGCTTTTGTATCGTTAAGATGCAAGAAAATGTAACTAAGTGGGTACTAACAAACTCAGATGTCGCTCATTAATGCGGCGTCCATCATTACCCTACAAAACCCTACAAGGTATGCCCAATAAGTAAAAGCATCTCCAAGCAAAAACTAAGGTATAGAACCAACAATATTTCCTCAATCTGAAGACAAAATTGTCGAATTTATTATCTAAAAACGAATTAAAACAATTTCTTGTTAGATATTTGGAAAAAAATAATTTTTAAAAGTAATAGACGAACAGCTATATTAACAGTACTTATTAATTACTTTAAGACAAACACTAAGGAATTACATAAATATATCGAACGTTCCGCGGTGACGAAAAGAAATGTACTGAAGGTACTGAATGCCAGAGAGCTACGCCACTAGCAAAGTCTTTTATGAAACTACCATCACTATTACTTCCGTTTCCTAATATTTTCTAACAGTGTAATAAAAGGTGTGTTACATTATAACCAGTGAGTTAAGCAACGTTAACTGACCTTTAATTTGAATACTTTTATTAAAGGTTATAATTTATTTTCTCACATTCCTGCGCTGTGTGCCATAGCCATCCGCGGCAGTAGACAGCGGGAGCTGAACCCGGGACCTCGCCACTGTCACTGACTAGCGACGTACCGACTGAATGTTAACAAACTTGCACAAATTATATAAAACAAACTGTTACTTGTGACTTCGTCCACGGGAAATTAAAAGAATAATATAAAATATATTTACTCACTTATAACGTAGCTTTTTAATGATGAAGGAATTTTTGAAATCGGCTGAGTAGTTTTTGAATTATTTCAACATATACAAAAAATAAATCTTTCCTCTTCATAACATTAGTGTAGATTTGTGATGACATCATGATTCTTTAATTATGAAATTCAAGTTCGTTACGATATTATGTTTAAACATCAAGTTAATTGCCAATTTAAGAAAAAAACTCAAAACATTCCACGATACGGTTGCTTTGTTAAGAATATATTCTTTTACCGTTACGTTCAATGAGGGTATAAATTAAAATGATTGAACAAATAAGAAAACATTCTCGTGTAATCAATTAATTTCATAGTAAAATGATAGTAATTTTTTTTGCTGTCGTTACTTACCCATGTGAACAGGAGCTACATGAAGCGCGCAGCATGGGGCCATATCTGTGTTTGTGAAGATAATCTCCCTGTCCGTACTACGTAGCATGTGGCCAATCAACTGCCTACCATCAACTTGCACATCATACGTCCTACTTTTTTATTTTATTACTTTAAATTCGACCGCGATCTTGTAAAAACAGAGCAGTCGAAATTCTGAAAACAAGCGTAGTATGTGAAGTGATACGGATTTAATTTGGATTTCATTGTGAAACATACTCGTACTTAAAATGTTTTCGTTACGTTTTACTAATACAAAGTTTTGTTAAATTGTTTTATTTTATAGTAAATGACTAACAACTTAGGGTCCTTGGCTTCGATGTTAAGGATACTCGCTTACTCCCTTCTGTTTAAAAACATCGCTAAAATAACGAAGCGACCGATGCTCGTATCATATCAACGGGAGGGAGGTAGAGAATGTGTATAATATACCTTTCTATACTTCCTCTCCTCAATACAATCTACCTTCTCTTTCCATCACTTCCATAGGAAGAGAACCTGCAGTATCGAACGAAACGCTGAATTGCTTCCACTTCACGCCTGTCTTCTGTGTGGTCGTGGTATTGCACTGTGCGAGCTGGCCTATTCTTGCGATAGATGTTATTGAGGGCTCTACCATTTTATGTTGCTAAAATATTCTTAAAAGATGGTTTGAAAATCAAACTTAATATGATAAAGCCTTTGGTTTATTAAACGGCAAATAATTGTACCAACTATTCAACGGGACAAATAAAGATTAAACAGGCGTAGAACATTCTTTTCAACCTTTTCCCCGTTTTATTTTTGCGTTTTCTATAACTCCGGTTCTTCCATTTTCTTTTTATGTTCATCGTCTTCATACTGGGTCTTTTTAAAGAGATTACCTTTTTCATTTTGGCTGGATGATGGTTCTGACATTTTTAGGCTGTCTACTATTTTCTCTTTCGAAGCTTTGATACTTTGAACCGGCATTTTATTGTGAATATCATTTGGCACGAATTTACCTTTGATAATTGAAAAGCAATGAGGCGAATTATGTACGCCTATTTTGTGTGGAATTTTACAAACATTTTTCGGATATGTCGATGTGAAGAAATTTACCATAGCTCAAGTTTACGTTGTTACCAATTTATCATTATTAAAGTTTATTATTTGTGTGATATTTAAAATTCCATAATTATCGGAATCACTGGATTATTTCTTGAATTTACAAATACAAAACAATACTAAAATTTGCCAAGATCTGTCAATGAACAGACAGATATAAAAAACGTAATAATGTCATTTGATAGGATATTTAATCTTCTATCATGTTTAAGGAATTCAGAGAGTTTTGTATTCATCAACCTGCCATTGTACCTACAAATAGTCACCAGTAAATACTGCTCTTCCATACATCTTTATCAGCCGTCATATCGGAATTTACTCCCTTCTTAAGCATATCCTTTTTACACAATCCATCTATACTTTCTTCGGCCTTCCTCTACCTTTAGCCACTTTCAATCTTAATAATTTGTTCATTTCGTTCAGCATATGTCCATACCACACTAACCTTCTGTTTCTCAAGATTTTGTCCACAGTATATTAATTAGAAAAGCAGTATCATTTGTAACAGCGTTTGATATATTATTGTACGAGTACTTACATTTTCCTTAATGGAAGTCAATAGTCGTTAAAACACCCTATCCATTTGTATTTTGTTTGTCACATAAACAAGGTCCATTAATAAGAAAACTTGCTTATTATAATTTAAAAATAGAGACATGTTTTATTAATATTTTCTAAACAGTGAAAGCAATATTTAAGTGAATAATTATTTATTTCAAATAAGGAATAATACTAACATTGTAACATTAATTAAATTTAAAAATTTGATAATAGATCAGAACCAGTATCAATATTATGGGTTAAAAATAAAACATCCTATATATCATCTTTTTCTTTCTTCCGACGCAAAGCAGCTTCGTCATCTAACTTTTTCTTTAGCTCTTTCAGTTGTTCTTTTTGTTTCTTGAAGAAGTAGCTATCTTCGTGTACCGAGCCGTAATGCCTGAAGGTGCCTGCCGCTTCACCGCCAGCGCCCCCGACCTTCCCCGCTCCTGAATCCGACCCTGTAGTATATCTACGAAGACTTACTGAGCAATCATTGTCAGATCTTAGTCTATTTCTAATCCAATATAGAACATCAAGAAAAGACTTCCGTTTCAGTTCATTGCTCGTTTTAGTAATCACGTACACGTTTTTCATTTTTTTTTCTAATTTTTTATAACTTTGGAAAGGAAATAAAGATTTTTTTTGATAGGATAATTTTTGATTGATTGACGTTGGTTGTTATTTTTTCTCGTTTTTTATGGTTTTAGTTGCTTTAATAGACAATTCAAAAAAGGTTTACTGACTTTTTTTGAAGACTAAGCTGTAAGAATATCATAACCACAACAATTCCACAGTATTTCTATTTATCGAATGCTCATTAGTAAAAATATGTATAACTAGCTAAGTCCGCGTGAAAAAAATGAGCTTGAGCAATCTATGTGTTCTTGCAGACTATCCTCTACATTTACGCTAAATTTCATCAAGAACTGTTCAGCAGTTTAGGCAGAAAACTCTAAGAAACATCCCTCCATCTAAACTTTCGCATTATTTTCATCAGTAAGAAAGGTGAGATGGAATTTGAAAGTACTTTCATTAATAGTTATGTACCGTACATATTGAGTGTTGAAAGCCAAGGTATGTACATCATTGTGTAACATTAAACAGAAACAGTAATGAATAAGAAACGGTAAAACATTCTAGACGACGGGGACATAAAACAGAAAGTAGAGGAAAAAGAAGAAACTATGGGTGAATTGTGTGAAAGAGGATATGCTTAAGAAAGGAGTGGATTCAGATATGACGGCTGATAGAGATGTATGGAAGAGCAGTACAGACTGTGCCGACCTTCGGTAAGATATAAGGGGAAGTTGATGATAATGAAAACGTTGTAACCAAAGTCAATAGATTGTAAGTCATTCAGTTCGTAATTTCCTTACAATATCATTAAAAAAATACTGGAGTGCGAACTGAAATTACCAATTAGCAAAGAAACTAATTTGCTAACGTACAGTATGTATTTTAATTGATGGCAAAGATTCAACTTACGACTTTTCGTCGTAACAAGTTTAGTTACGCTGTAATAATTTTCTCACTAATTATTCTTATTATTTTATATATAAAGTGGATTTTCTTTGCTAAATGTAGTCGCAAGTATGGTGTTGTGATAAACGAAATGGATTTAACTAAGGTCTGTAAATTAAACATTTTACTTTGGTTATTATTAAATTAAATAGATTGTCGATAGTTGGTTAAAAATATCTTAATACAATATTGTTTGATATAGTTACTCTGACTCCCTCTCTGCGTCTGCCTGTCTCTCTCTCCCTCTCCGAAAAAGGCAAACTGAGAAAAATAAGATAATTAAGACAATCATAAAAGGTGGATATTTAATCCTTTTGTAATTTTTTTTTTAATCTAATTTTCTGTATTTTCAGGTGTTGCTCTTGTCCTTTTTAGTATCACTGTCTATGTGCAGAAGGTAAATATAAACCACAACGTAAATGGTTTCTGAATGTCTTCGTTACTCATATATGGAACAAAATATTATTTATGATTTTTTATATTACAGACATCTCACAAATGCACAACCATGGAATCCTGTTAAAAATCTACCACAATACTATCAAAGACAATGTTTTTGTTACTTACAAAAGACGAGTGGGACACCGGTATTAGAGAAGTTGACAAATAATGGTGAAAATTTGAAAAGATTAGTCGTATATCTCTACAAGAATCCTACATCAAATGAAATCAATCTATTTGTGCCTAATAGTGAAAAGCAAAAGGTCATACCTGATCTTTCTTACGATGAAGGTGATCAATTAGAAACTCCTTCAGATAATCTACAAACTATATTCACAAAATACCCCGATCTCGTAAGTGAACGAACCCACATACTTTCTCCCGATAGTCAAACATTTGATCGTCCAATAAGAAAAATTAAAGGAATAAACGTACCATCTAATCAGCAAAATATAAAATTATATGACGATATCTTCTATGATTACCAGAAGACAACAATACCAGAAAATATTCGATATCCAACACGCATCGATTCAGATCTGGATAATATAAGACAGCAGAATTTAAACATCGATTTAAATCCTAATATGCAACCTTATTTAGACTTTGAAGGAGCTAAACCAGACGCACCTATAAATGTAATCTCCGTTAACATAAATCGAAAAAAGGCCGATCCAATTAACAATCCCCCACAAGGAAATATAATAACAATAACTAGACCCAATAGAGACCGATTCAATACTAATTTGAACTCAGACAATGATCTAGACAATGTAATAGTAGATTATCCCGAAAACAGTGAAATAGAAACCAGTACACCACCAGAACTTGAAACTGTGGGAGACGATGGGGATGATATTGATACGCCAGACCCGGAGGAAATTATTGCTGAGAAAGATTTTAAGGACATGCCACCAGAACTAACTGATGAGATAACAGCTGATTTTGTTGTACCGACTCCTAATCGAAAAATATTACAGACATTGCCAATAGAATCAATTAATACAGATATATCTATCACTGATGCACCATCAGACGTGATCGTTGAAAATAACATTCCTATAGAAAATGATATAGAAATGCAAGATTCATTGAATTTCGATCCAGAAGTAATTAAAGAAACAGTCCCTTTAGTAGAAAATGAGAATATACCTCAGCAGGATTTACTCTCCGATGATAACGATCATTCTATAAATATTAACATTAATAATCAAAATAATTCTGGAATCGACGAAGACTCTGATAATGATTTGATGGACTCTAGCAATCAACCACCACATCTAATTATTGGTCCCAATAATCAACCTATAGGTAGCCAAAAAATGTCTATAAATGTTCAAAAGAAACTTATAGATACTTTATTACCAGACCACAAATTACCATTAGATTATATTAAAAATGGAGTACTTCATAATCGACTAATTCCTGACGACTTATCTTATTTTACTGTCCATCCAGAAGCATTAGTAAAAAAATATCAAGGTGTAAATGGAATAGATTTCCAAGACACATTTGATAATTGGTTCGAGCAGCAAATGAAACGAGTGAGATTCATAAATTCAAGAGCATCAAATTCAATAGACATTTACACATTGAAATATCTTATAGAGAAAACCTTGCATGAAAAAGGCATGTTTGTTACTAAAAATGGCTATATCATTGATTCCAATGGACATATTTTAAATACGGCCAATTTGGTTTTACGTCCAATATTGATAGGTAATTCTGTCGAATATAAGAATCTGTTGCAAGGGAAATTCACTACATATAAATTTCCAATGGACATGCCATATTTAGAAGCAGTTTTGATAACTTTAATCAATCCCCCGAAGATACTGGGCATCATTCCTCTTGGAAAGACGTATCTCCCTAAATCTATTCCAAAACCTTTACCGTACTACGTCAATAATGAGATAATCCCGAATAGTTGTGGTGGAGTTTGTAATATGCGAAATATGTTAGTCCCATCTTGGAATGCAAGACGTCACTTAGGAAAAACTTATGATACCACACCTATAAAGACTAGAATGAGCCAAAAGCGCCAACAAGGTAGACTTTTACGCGGAAGAAGACCTTTAAGTCGAAGAATATTTCCCCTGGATGACGTAAATACTTTCATTGATAAAATTTACAGGGTACCATTACGGCCGAAAGTTGCACAAAGACCTAGCACTTATGTGGTCAATTATGAAACTGAACCATTAATAGCAAGTGAACCGGTTATGAAGTATCCGATACCAATTGCAGTGTCCGAAGTGACTCCAGGTTTTCGAATTATCGGCGGTAATCCAGCGACTAGCAGTGGCACTCCTGTTAGTAGTAGAGGTCGCTCAGGCTATGATTCCTCAGAAAGCGCTTTACTACCCACGGTTAATGAAAATTAAACTACTGCTTCGTATAACTATAAACAGGATTGTAATATGGGCTCAAATAATCTCTAGTGTTTGTGTTATTGAATAAATCATTGTCTGTCATGCGTTGCACTTTTATTTTAAAACTTCTAAACGATAACAAAATACATTGCAACAAAATATAATCCCAATGAACATACAAATTTTGAAAAGCGACATCTCTCGATGAGACGGTAAACTATTATCACCCAGACAACAGGCATGCTGACATCATACTTTCTCCATCTATTGTTGAGATTCTTAAATAAAAAGACGGTCATGCTATTAAAGTTTAATAATATAGAACTAGATGGCGTTAATATAGATATGTTTTTTAAAATATTACCTACAATTACTAACATAAATTAAATATTAACTGTAAAATGTGAGAAAACCGTGGAAAGGTGCAAAAAATAAAATTTGAGCACAAGGTTTATTCATCTGAAGTTTTAAAAATCCTTCCATAATCAAATCAACCAAATCAAACGAATCACGTCGGACAAGTTTTGTTCCGAGTTCAGTCAGTCATAGTCAGTGACCGCAACTTATCGTGTGAGGGGTGGATTTACTTTACTCTAAAAATATACCGTAATAAGTTTGTAACAAGAAAACCTTGTTTCCTCTAACAATGAATATCAAAATCAATTGAAGTAACAATTTCAGTGTTTAATAAGTTATACATATTATAAATGCTTAAATTTTCTGTTTAAATTTTTACATATAAAATTTCTGTGAATTCGCGGTATCTTAGTGTTGTTAGGGATTTTTTGTGATGAATGCCTGTTAACAGAATATGTCGACCATTGGACTTAAAATTCAGCTAAAACATCTTTAAAATTGGATGGGATTATCCTATTGGTAAGTTATTATTGACTACTTTTAATATTTTTACAAAATACATTTGTTTGTTTGTGTGACATAAAATTTATTAAAAGATGTTTATAATCTAAAATAAGTTAATTGTTGGTTAGTTAAAAATCTTTTAAGGTGCAATAATTTAAGAGATTTCAACACAGAGTGAACGGTTTTAAATCAAGGATGCATTAAAACTTTTTTATATTCAACACTCAATTGACTCTAAATTAGGTTAGTTTTACAGGTACATTTTTACCCATATAAAAATTTTCATAAAAAAATCATCTTCAGTCATTACGTACGTGTTTAAAGATGATCATGTCTTGCACAACCTTATCCGCTGTTGACCATGACAGATGGTCAGGTCAGGCCTTGTACCTATGATTGGGTACCTTCGCAAAATAATTAGGGTTGTCGCAATGTTTTGTAAGTTAAAATTTTCTATAATTAAATATCTTCTGCTTTTAACAAGCAAGAAAATAAAGATTACGAAAAATGACAATAAATCGTTCCTTATTAATTTATTATTAAATGTTTTTAATCGGAAAACAGAGTCATTTTTTAGGATCCGTAATTAAAAAGGTTTTTCTACAGTTCCACGGTTCGCGGTTAGATTTAAAAAAAAAGTTTGTTAAAATTAATAACATTCTATTCTTTTGAGATAAATGCTTTCTTATAGTAAACAAAAGTGACAACCCTATAAATTAACAATTTAAATAATTTTGTAATACTTTTATTTTTACAACCTTGTTATGTCAGCCGGTTCTCAGATGTGTTTTATAAAAACGAAATAATGATAAAAATTTATGAATTTCGTGATAAAGTTTCGGTGCAACAAAATTTATTAATAAACGATTTGTTCACTGGGTGCGTATAAAATTGAATACTGTGACTTAACTTAAATTTAAAATAGTAACTTAGCTCAAACTTGATTGACTTGCAATTAAACTAAATTTCTTTTATAAGAAATCTCTGCCAATCTCTTTGATTATTTCTTTTTTAACATATACGAAGTCCGTAATTTATGTGTTGTAAAAAACATAGCTCATTCAATGCGATTATGAATCCTTAAAGCTGGTGTTTTGTTCTATTTTTAAACTTCTATTGTTAGCGACGCATAAACTTGTCCCTTTGTTATTCTGATTTTTTCAATATACCCACATGAAACTACACGCATTGTAAGCAAAATTGAAAATAAAGTCAATATGTTTTATTTTGTTAAAATACTTTGATAAATTTACTCATCATACTTCATACTAATATAAATGCGAAAGTTTAGATAGATGGATGTTTGTTAGAGTTTGTAGCCTAAACATCTGAACGGATCTCGATGAAATTTGGCACAGATTTAGAGGATAATCTGGAAAAACACATAGGCTCCTTACTTTTGTTTTATCTACTTCCACGTGAACGGAGTCGTAAGCAAAAGCTAGTATAAAAATAAAATGTTTACTAAACGTGGAAAAGTAATTTTTATCGACCTCCAAATTAGCTTAAGGTGAGATAAATAGAATGAATCATTAGGATATCAGCTTCAACGCTTGTATCGTGAACGCAGTTATTAATGCTTGATGCAATTAAAAAATTAACACACACAAGATAGTCTTTTTATTTTTAAAGAATCAAATAAAAAAACAAAGATTGTCTATTCTATTCTAGTCTTTTACCCATCAATGCTACTTTTTAAATTTTCAAATTTAGAATTTTTCTACTAAAATTATAAATGTGAAAGTTTAGTCTAATATAATAAAAGTGGATGGATGTTTGTTAAAGTTTGTACCCTAAACTGCTAAACGTATCTTGATAAAATTTGACATATATTTAGAGGATAGTCTGGAAGAATGGGCATACTCATTGTTATTTTTTAATTCCATGGAGGCGGAATTGTGGGCGAAAGCTAGTAATATTATAAATGCGAAATTATAGATGTTTGAAGTTTGCCGCCTAAACAGATCTCGATGAAATTTTACATTGCTGTATGGAATAGTTTAAAGAACCACATAGGCTGTTTACTTTTGTTTTTATTAATTGCACGTGGATAGTCGCGGGCGAAATCTAGTAGGTCATCATATGTGCAGCCACACACGATGTATTTGTTTTATGTACAGTTAGAAAATTTTCATCCTTTGTAGCACTGTTTTGATTATAAGAAGAAAATCATGATTTCAGAGCAATGACACTTAAAATAAAATTTCACCGCAATATAAAGATTTCGCCTTCTTATTGTTAACAATAAAACCAGTAACTCGTGCTTTTTATCACGACAGTAAATCGTAAAAATAATGAAGCTTTATTGATTATAAGTGTTGAGATGTTTAAAGTACAATTGGTTTGGATGTTTTATTACCTCCGTTATAACAGTAATGTAAACTGAAATGATTATATTATATGTAAACGTATACAAGGAATAAATCTTTAAGTCTAGTAAACTTGCGTTGAGAGTATAGTATAGTGCCTCCGTTGTGTGTAGTGTTCACGTCTATTAGGTCACTATATTCATAGAATCTGCAAAGTTTTGAAAATCGCTTTTTTACCGATTATCTTTCCAAAGGTAGCTAATGATCGGTGATGACAAAAGAACAAATGTCGGCGACGCGTGCTTGTGTACAAATTTAAATATTGTATTGCGTAAAACTGCAATGATATTTGTATTGAAATATTTGTGATCACTCATACGCTTGAAGAACACCAATGATGTAGAAATCCATTTCTGTTTTGTTTTCGTAATCTGTTAAAATTACGAAATGATCCATAAGACATTTTAAAATAGAGCAAATGATCGATTTCGCGTGAATTTTTTATAAACAAATGTTGAAAATTTATCATCCATTGTATTGCTTGTTAGTTGGACAAATTTTACTTTATTGTCGTAACTGAATATCGATATATTGGCTAACGCTTACTAAAACTTACTTACCTATTTGGGTAAATATTTATTTCGTTTCTTTGCTGATTTCATGATAATTTTTAATATTTAAAAATGTCCCAACTCTGTACAGAAAAATGAATATTCATGTAATGATTTCGTCACAAGTACGCGACAGCGAGTCACCAGTTATTGTTGTCCAAACAATAAATGTGGGTTAAAAGATCAACTGGCAATATAGCTTTGTGCTTACCCACGTTCAGACAAACGGGAAGAGCCAATTTATGTACCGAGGCCAATTGCCTGACAAACGGATGGGTCACACGCTTTTGTACCTGTAACTCAGCAGCATGGCTACCCTCTGAAGAATTGATACATCAGAGAGTTCCAAACCTTTTTATAGACTCCTTGCAATTTTACTTTTATTTTCGATTTATGTATCCTAATCTTTTACCTCTAGCCATCATTCACTACAGAAGTTCCGTGTATCCCAATAGTGATTCCTCCTTGTAAAAACTTAAATTAAAAAACTATTTCAACGTACGTGTGCATCCTCTTCTATCCTTATTTGAATCTCAGATGAATCCACCACATACTATGCTAGCTTCGCTTCCCGTAACTAGTGTTGCCTCACACATGCGTCTCAACTTTCATATTTATTTAGCTGTGTTTGTATCTAGTTATTAAATTGAAATAGTGGAAAAAGCCTAACGATATTTCCGTCTTGATCTAAGCAGTCGTTGATAACCTTCGAAACCTATTGATGTATATTAACGTTCATGAATGGTAAATTGGGTGGTGTTTGAGAACCGGTATCGTTCGCTTAAATGACGATTCCAAAGGCCAGTTTTATGTCGCAAGATCTGATCATCCTCCAATCTTTGAAATACGTTTTCTAAGGTCATATGCAATAGTATAATATGCATTGTAAATTGTTTTTGAATTTCTAATTGGTTTTCATTAACCTTTCATTGAGTTTTTTCCATTGATATGCGGAGATGTTTTTGAATATAGTTTTTTTTTATTAATTAATACATTGATATGGAATTTTTACGTTAATTATCTATAACACACCGGTGCTGTGAGTTGTGCTTGGTTTACGTTCCTACTCAAAGAAGTTTTCATTTGTCTTAGAAAAACTTTAGAAGATAATTCGAGGATTACGATGAAAGGGTATACTTGTTCATTGCTGAATTTCAAATACAAGGTATGTCTAGTTAGAATAAAGTATCATAAAGTAACACTACAACGAATAATAATGTCGATTCAAAAGCAACAGAGTGTCTATCACGAATATTTGCTTGACAGTTGAGAGAACGTATTCGTAACGTAATCGAGATGTGTCATCATGTACGAGATTTTTTGGTATACTTTACGTCCGGTAAGCAGTACAAAAATAATACAAATTTAGTCAATGATCTTACTAGAATTTTCTAATTAACTCTTCTTGCGTGTAAAGTTTTTCAGTCAAAGTCTTAACTTTAAGTGCATAGTTATTTGATATACGAAGCCAGCGATATTACGTATTACTTATTTCTTGCATATTTATTCTGTAATGGTTTTATATTACAACGCATTCTCTAACCTTCAAAACAAACTATCGAGGGTCGAAAAAACAATTCCAACGCCCGCATCGAAGCGGCCTCTAATTCTCTTTCACGTATGGTGAATATGAATTAAAAAAAAAAGTCGACAATGAGGCAAGGCATCAGTATTCATGACACGGTGCCCTCACGGTATCCGACAGGCACCGCGTGATGCCAAACACTGGATAACTATATTGCGAGAACGATAACATCTCGGCATAGAGGTTTTAAATAAAAAGTTAACCAACCTCTTTAGATTATTTAATTTTTGTACGAAGACATTTGTTACTGGCCGGTACGCAAACATTTTATAGTTATTTAAAATAAGCGTCGTTATTTATTCAAATAAATTATCAAATAATATTTCTACAGGGTTTTTCTATACTTTTCACTGCTATAACTGCAAAAGTTTAGATCTATGGCTGTTTGTTACTAAGTATCTCCAATACAATTTAACGGATCTCGTCAAAATTTGGCATACATTATATATTAAATGTTTTTTTAATTCTATACCTAAATACGGACGAGTTTGTGGGCAAAATCTAGCAACA